AATTAAAAAATTATGTATAACAACACGAGATTCTTCATAAATTCAAACAAAAGGATACAAATTACATAATACAATGAAATAAAAAAGCATTACAAACAACGATTACAATAACATTACAACTAATTTTCTGAATTAGAAAATTCCTCCCATAAATGCTCAATCAATGCATTACGAAGGGCGATATGAGCTTCTCCATCTCGAATTTGTCTGTATCGAGCAACAAATGCTTGGAACTGAGAAGCTTCATTACCAACCGTTTCAACATCAGGGATTGGGGCTTCTATCGCAGCTTCAATTTGTGCAGAAAGATCTCGTTCATCCTCAATTATCATATTATGCAAAATAATACATGCAATCATTATATCTTGTAAGTCATTTTTACTCCAAAATCGTGCAGGACTAGCCACAATAGCAAATCGACTTTGGAGTACTCCAAATGCATGCTCCACATCCTTTCTGCATGCTTCTTGTTTCATTGCAAAATATTTTTTTTTCTGACTCCAAGGGTCACGAATAGTTTGGACAAGAGTTTCCCATTTGGGATATATATTATCTGCTAAATAATACCCCATGTTGTACTCTTTACCTTGAATGACATAATGTGCAGGAGGGGCAATTCCTCGAGTAAGGTCAGAAAATAAATGAGACCTCTCTAACACATTAATATCAATGTTGGATCCAGGCATACCAAAGTATGCATGTCATATCCAAAGATCATAATCAGCTATAATTTCTAGAATAATAGTTGGAGATTTACTACGTCCTGTATATGCACCTGCCCAAGCTGTTAGATAATTTTTCCAACGCCAATGCATACAATCCAGACTACCTAACATTCCTGGAAAGCCACGTTGCTTACCGATATAAAGGAGTCTTGCAATGTCATTGGCGTTGGGAGAACGTAGATATTGCTCTCTGAATATCTCTACAACAGCACGACAAAATTTCTTCACGCATTCAATTGCGGTGGACTCTTCAATATTTAATCTGTCGCATCTGTTGGTACAGCGTATGCTATTATCCGAAGCGCAGCAGTTAACTTTTGATAGGTAGACAATCCGAGTCTACCAACTGCATCTCTTTGCTGCAAAAAAAAATCATCCTGACTTATAACTGCATTTGCTATACCAAAAAATAAATTTCTAGACATTCGAAAACGTCTACGAAACATGGCTTCATTAAATTTTGGGTTTTCAGAAAAATAATCATTATAAAGATGATTTGCAGCTGCTTCTCGATCGCGAAATATTGTTCTTCGACCAGGAACTGAACCTCCATGGCTTTGACCGCCTTGTTGAGTTCTAAGAAATTCTTGCACAAGAATATTATTGTTGTAAATTTGTTGTGCTATCAGAGTTTGCTCTGTATCATAACTATCTAGCAATTGTTCAAGTTCATCACCAGATGAACTTGAAGAAGAAAATGCATAAGAAGTACCAATGTGATTGGGATTCATATTTTTCTGGAAAATGTAAGAGTTTACGAATGAATAATTTCTGTGAAGATCTACGTATAAATAGTGATATAGAAATCTATAACTCTTAATCTGAGCCGTTTAATCTTGATTTTCATAGATAAGAATCCTACGGTTGAAATGTGGATAAGAAAATCTACACCTTTTAATCTTAGTCGTTAAATCTTTAGATAAGAATCCTACGGTTGAGATGTGGATAAGAAAATCTACACCTTTTAATCTTAGCCATTAAATCTTTAGATAAGAATCCTATGGTTGAGATGTGGATAAGAAAATCTATACCTTTTAATCTTAGCCATCAAATCTTTAGATAAAAATCCTACGATTGAGATGTGGATAAGAAAATCTACACCTTTAAATCTTAGTCGTTAAATCTTTAACAGTAGATAACCTGTTATAAAGAGTTTTCATACAATTAATAACCGATTATTTACACTCTATGTGTTTTTTCCAACTGTAAGGGTTCTCGCGAGTGATTATCTTTGAAGTGTATATTCACATTTTGGAAAATGATTATAATAGGGCATATATTCACATTTTGGAAAATGATTTAGGGCATATATGTTCTAGACCGTATATGGTTTATGGCATATATTTACAGTCTAGATTTTCTTAGTGAATATATGTCCTAAACCATATATGGTCTAGACTGTAAATATGCATTAAATCATATATTTTAGATAAGAATCCTACGGTTGAGATGTAGATAAGAAAATATACACCTTTAAATCCTAGCCGTTAAATCTTTAGATAAGAATCCTATAGTTGATATGTGGATAAGGAAATCCACAACTTTAAATCTGGTAACACAAAACTTCCCGACCGGCTGGAACTTGAATAATCGCCTTCCTTTTCGCCGGTTGAACGTCGTGTACCTACAAAGAACTCTCACACCGGAGAGGTTTTCTGGTGAAGAGCCTCCGAAGCTTATGTCAGTGTATGTTCAATCAATTCTCAAGAGTAAGTAATAGAATGATCGTGTTGAAGAAGAAAGGCTCACCCCCTTTATATAGGGGTGAGATACCTGACCTAGGGCTGCCCGGATTTGGTGAGCTGTCTGCCCTAGCTGCCCGTCCGTACACACCATACGCGTGTGTCAGAGGTAGCCGTCGCCACTATCGCCTGCACCAATCCCCTTTGGACGCGTGTCCTCCTGCACACGGGGTAGGCTGTCAGAGGTGGTTATCGCTATCAACCACTGCCTTCTCGACACGTGTCCCCCTGCACATGGGGTAAATATTCTCCTGGAATTCAGTTAGGGGCTCTCTCACGCGCCTGTGACTAGGCCAATCCGCGTGGTGTTAAGTCCTCGAGGTGGTCGACTTATCGAGGCCGACTGGACTGCTCGATCGCTCATCTAATCAAGAGATAATTTGGTCGACAGCTTTGCTTGATCGACTGGTTAACTGCTCGATTTCCTTGACCTCCTCATAATACGACCTCCTTGACCGGTCTATTTACCGGTTTAAGCTTGTGGGTATAATATCCTATATCAAAATCTTAGCCGTTAACTCAGATTTTCCTATCATGAATGTCAACCGTACGATTCTTATCAATGGAAATGAAATATACTATAAATATGCTACATGGTGAGGCAAAATGTTGTACCACCAAAATATAACTTCATCATTTTCTAATTTAAGTTTTAAATTCATTATCTTGTCGTAATTTCTCTTATGGGTTCAAACTATATTCCGAATGAAGATCAACACCTATGTCGGTCTTATATGGAAATTTCTCAAGATCTAGAGGTGGGCATATATCAAAGTAGAGATCAATTCTGGCTCAGGGTGGCAAACGAGTATAACTCTACAAAACCCAATCCAACCTGGCCTGATCGTCCACAAAGATCGATCCAATGTCGCATGGGAACTATCAATACTACTATCAAACTTTTCAAATCTTGTGTAGAGCAAATTGAAAATGCAAAACCAGTGGAGCTTCTGAACATGATGTGGTAAGAAATTTTACAAGCATTATTTATTTATATTTAAGAAATTTTTTTATATTTTCTAATGTTATTTATTTTCACATTGTAGATGGAGCGCGCGAATATACTTTATTCGCAAAACCCTAAAAATAAAAGTAACAAGTCATTCAAGTACGAGCATGTGTGGAATATTATGAAATATTTTACATTGTTTGAGTGCTCATCAACCAGGCGAAACACTTTTTCATCTCAACCGCAATCAGATGCACAACCCGAGTCTCCCATTTCACCTAATCCAGAACTATCTAATTTTTCTATTAATTTATGCGATGAAAATGCTAGTGGTGGTTCATCATCACAACGACCATTAGGTATTAAAAAATCAAAATTCAAGAGAAAACAGGGAGAAGACGTATCTGCAGTTATAAAAACAATGAAAGAGGAAAATAAAAAAAAGAGATGACAAGAAGCTCAGCAATGAAGAGAGATCACGATAGTGAGATTAAGAAAACAACTTGTTGAGACTACCACATGGACAGAGGAAAATAAAATTTTAATGATGGATTTGGAGTCCATACAAGATAGTCGTCGTCGTGAATATTTTAAAAACGAGCAAGAACGAATACTGAGAAAAAGAGAAGGATCGCAGTCATCACAAGCCAACAACACTTTTGGTTCTTTCAGTGAGTTTTTTCAAGATCTTGGCGGGTCTGGAAGTGGTTTGGGAGACTACTAGAATTATTCGTGTGTTCCTTTGATTATTATGTCATCTTTAATCATGTTGTTTTTATTTGTGTGTTAAGTCATTTTTAATCATGTTGTTTTTATTTATGTTCTATGATTTATGTGTGTTGTAAACTTTAATTTTAATGAAATAAACTTGTTTGAGTGTGTTAAATTTTTATTCATGTGGTACTACAAAATAAATTATAATACATACATTAATAAATAAAAAAGCACAAAATTTTTAACATAAAAAATATATCGCACAAAGTTATTTAGCATAAAAATATATTTATTAATACACATTATATACAAAATTATCATAATATTACACTAAAAATACACAAAAAAAAGAAAAAAAA